AATTATGGTAGCTTTCACTGGGCTATAGAACATTTTAATTCTGTCCTAATGACATTTATTAGCGTAACACAAACTACGGAATGCCTGGTCGACAGCGTAGCTTTTAAATTACAGAATGGCCATTACATTCAGCGTTTTACAGCCAAGTTTCTAGGAAGAAGATAAGTATTTTAAATATATATTGGGGAAGATGCACTCATCCTTTGACTTCAAAAGGCCATTCAGTGGCTCCACATTTTATGGCTTAATCTATTCACGCTCTTCTCTGAAAGTATTTATTGGCTTTTATTTAATATTATATAAATATACAGGGCTGAAAAAAGTAACTTCTTTAGGGCAAAGCAAGCTGGTAGTACAGAGGAGTGCTTATATAATATTCCCTTCCATCTGGTTTTACTGCAGTCAACAGAGGACATGACAGTTCGCTTAAAGGTGTTTTAAAAATCAATTTTGGGGCTATTAGAATAAAGCTGTCTCCTTTAAATACAGCTAAAATTGATTTAACCTGTGATACGAATTTAAACACTAAAGACTTAAGTTCCCCTTGAGGAATACCACAACGTGTTTTATGGGGCATCACAGGGAATAACCGTGCAGAGTTTAAATTTGACATAAATCCCAGAAACAGAGGAAATAGAATGAGAACAGTTAGCCCCAAAATCTAGAAAACTAATTTTATATATGTGTGTGTGTGCGCGCGCGTGTACGCGCTGATATGGAGTTTCCTGGATTCCCAAATTTCAGTTTGTGAAACCAGCAAGTTGGATCCAAAGTTAAAACACTTGGTTCAGGTTTTTTCCAGCAAAAGATTTGAGTTGAAATAAATATGTATTTAATTGTTTTAATCACAATCTATTTCATAATATCATGGAGAAAGGGGGTATATACCTGGTCTCAATCCATTTTAACATACTTGCCCCTATCATCCGCACACGATGGGAACATTTCACCCGTAAGCTGGAGGTCAGGTGTCTTGTTGGACTTTGAAAATTGTGTTTCACAGAATATTTAGATAAGGGGAACATGGTAATCTTTTACTTTTTGGGGGGGGTAGGGTAAGATGCTTCTGAACAAGTTATAAATGTAGGAAGTATGGCACACATCACTTTCAGTGGAAGAAAAAGATCTAGGCTTACTTTCCTGGGTGAAACAGTTTTTCTTTTTCTTTACCAGTGCTAGATAGAATCACAGAACATGTGGAAAATTCAGGACAATGGAGTCAAGCATACATGAACGAAAAGCTACATAATCAGAGCAAAAACTGAAAAATTCTTAAGGATGGTTTTATTTTTTTCATATAGTTGTGTCGCATATATATGTAGTATGTTGTCACTTTTCAGTAAGGTTCTCTCATAGGGAATGGTGAATTCCCTATGTTCACCAGCAGTTCCACTGAAACATTAAAAGGCAAAATTTGGAATATGTATAAACGGGACAGAATTAAATCTGAAGTCTGAAAAACGTTTGTCTTTTAAGAATGGAAGCGGTGGCTTCTGTCCAAATAAAAATACGCTGCTTTCTGGGGTCAGGAGGAGGAAAGGAGGCCTGAAGTTGATAAGGATTCCATTTATAGTTCTTTGTGCAATTCTTCAGCAATTCCAATATCTCCCAAACCTTAGAATTGGGCTTGCTAAATAGGGGTATTCTGGAGGTTCCAAGATCCAATCTTCTATTCTCCCCCCCCCCCCGC